CCAGCTCCGTTTTTTCCCTCAAGACTGCTTTGGCTATTTAAACATGATAAACATGAAAAAGGAGAAGTTACAACGGACCCTGCAGAAATACAAAGCATCCTGAGAGACTACTACAAGCAACTCTTGTAGTAGAACATCATGGCTAAATGTTTATCAATTTCGTTTATCTTCTCAAAGAAACGGCTTTTAGTTTTATTGATCTTTGCTACTGTTTTCTTTGCTTCTATTTCATTTATTTCTGCTGTGATCTTTATGATTTCTTTCTTTCTACTAACTTTGGGTTTTGTTTGTTCTTCTTTCTTTAGTTCCTTAGGTGTAAAGTTAGATTGTTTATTTGAGATTTTTCTTGTTTCTTGAGGTAGGCTTGTATTGCTATAAACTTACCTCTTAGAACTGCTTTTGCTGCATCCCATAAATTTTGGATCATCATGTTTTCATTGTCATTTGTCTCTAGGTATTTTTTTTTCCTCTTTGATTTCTTCTGTGATCTTTTGGTTATTTAGCAATGTATTTTTTAGCTTCCATGTGTTTGTGTTTTTTACGATCTTTTTCCGTGTAATTTGTTTGTAATCTCATAACGTTGTGATCGGTAAAGATGCTTGATATGATTTCAATTTTCTTAAATTTACTGAGGCTTGATTTGTGACCCAAGATGTGGTCTATCCTGGAGAATACACTGTTCTGTGTACATTTGAGAAGAAAATGTAATCTGCTGTTCAGATGGAACGTCCTATAAATATCAGTTAAATCTATCTGGTCTATTGTGTCATTTAAAGCTTGTGTTTCCTTATTAATTTTCTGTGGATGATCTGTCCATTGGTGTAAGTGAGGTGTTAAAGTCCCCCACTGTTATTGTGCTACTGTCTATTTCCTCTTTTATAGCTGTTAACAGTTGCCTTATGTATTGAGGTGCTCCTATGTTGGATGTATATATATTTCTAATTGTTATATCTTCTTCTTGGATTGATCCTTCCTTGTCTCTTGTAACATTCTTTATTTTAAAGTCTATTTTATCTGATATGAGTATTGCTACTCCAGCTTTCTTTTGATTTCCATTTGCATGGAATATCTTTTTCCATCCCCTCACTTTCAGTCTGTATGTGTCCCTAGGTCTGAAGTGGGTCTCTTGTAGACAGCATATATATGGGTCTTGTTTTTGTATCCATTCAGTGAGCCTGTGTCTTTTGGTTGGAGCATTTAATCCATTCACGTTTAAGGTACTTATCGATATGTATGTTCCTATTACCATTTTCTGAGTTGTTTTGGGTTTTTCTTTGTAGGTCCTTTTCTTCTCTTGTGTTTCCCACTTAGAGAAGTTCCTTTAGCATTTGTTGTAGAGCTGGTTTGGTGGTGCTGAATTCTCTTAGCTTTTGCTTGTCTGTAAAGCTTTTGATTTCTCCATCAAATCTGAATGAGATCCTTGCTGGGTAGAGTGATCTTAGTTGTAGTTTCTTCCCTTTCATCACTGTAAATATATTGTGCCACTCCGTTCTGGCTTGTAGAGTTTCTGCTGAGAAATCAGCTGTTAACCTTATGGGGGTTCCCTTGTATGTTATTTGTTGTTTTCCCCTTGTTGCTTTTATTTATTTATTTATTTATTTATTTATTTAATTTTCGGTACACGTTCCTCTCACTGTTGTGGCCTCTCCCGTTGCAGAGCACAGGCTCCAGATGCGCAGGCTCAGCGGCCATGGCTCACGGGCCCAGCTGCTCCGCGGCATATGGGATCTTCCCAGACCAGGGCACGAACCCGTGTCCCCTGCATCGGCAGGTGGACTCTCAACCACTGCGCCACCAGGGAAGCCCCCTTGTTGCTTTTAATAATTTTTCTTTGTCTTTAATTTTTGTCAATTTGTTTACTACATGTCTCGGCGTGTTTCTCCTTGGGTTTATCCTGCCTGGGACTCTCTGAGTTTCCTGGACTTGGGTGGCTATTTCCTTTCCCATGTTAGGGAACTTTTCAACTATAATCTCTTCAAATATTTTCTCTGGTCCTTTCTCTCTCTTTCCTCCCTCTGGGACCCCTATAAAGTGAATGTTGGTGTGTTTAGTGTTGTCCCAGAGGTCTCTTAGGCTGTCTTCATTTCTTTTCATTGCTTTTTCTTTATTGTGTTCTGTGGCAATGAATTCCACCATTCTGTCTTCCAGGTCACTTATCCATTCTTCTGCCTCAGTTATTCTGCTTTTGATTCCTTCTAGTGTATTTTTCATTTCAGCTATTGTATTGTTCATCTCTGTTTCTTTGTTCTTTAATTCTTCTAGGTGTTTGTTCTTCAGTTCTTCTAGGTCTTTGTTAAACCTTTCTTGCATCTTCTCAATCTTTGCCTCTATTCTTTTTCCAAGGTCCTGGAACATTTTCACTATCATTATTCTGAATTCTTTTTCTGGAAGGTTGCCTATCCTCACTTCATTTAGCTGTTTTCTGGGGTTTTATCTTGTTCCTTCATCTGGTACATAGCCCTCTGCCTTTTCATTTTGTCTGTCTTTCTGTGAATGTGGTTTTTGTTCCACAGGCTGCAGGATTGTAGTTCTTCTTGCTTCTGCTGTCTGCCCTCTGGTGGATGAGGCTATCTAAGAGGCTTATGCAAGCTTCCTGATGGGAGGGACTGGTGGTGGGTAGAGCTGGGTGTTGCTCTGGTGAGCAGAGCTGAGTAAAACTTTAATCTGCTTGTCAGCTGAAGGGTGGGGCTGAGTTCCCTCCCTGGTGGGTTTTTGGCCTGAGGCGACCCACCACTGGAGCCTAGAGGCTCTTCAGTGGGGTTAATGGTGGACTCTGGGAAGGCTCACGCCAAGGGGTACTTCCCAGAAGTTCTGCTGCCAGTGTCCTTGTCCCCACGGTGAGCCACAGCCAGCCCCTGCCTCTGCAGGAGACCCTCCAACACTAGCAGGTAGGTCTGGTTGAGTCTCCCCCGGGGTCACTGCTCCTTCCCCTGGGTCCCAGTGTGCACACTACTTTGTGTGTGCCCTCCAAGAGTGGAGTCTCTGTTTCCCCCAGTCCTGTTGAAGTCCTGCAATCAAATCCCACCAACCTTCACAGTCTGATTCTCTGGGAATTCCTCCTCCCGTTGCCGGACCCCCAGGTTGGGAAGCCTGACGTGGGGCTCAGAACCTTCCCTCCAGTGGGTGGACTTCTGTGGTGTAAGTGTTCTCCAGTCTGTGAGTCACCCACCCAGCAGTTATGGGATTTGATTTTACTGTGATTGCGCCCCTCCTGCCGTCTCCTTGCGGCTTCTCCTTTGTCTTGGATGTGGGGTGTTTTTTTGGTGAGTTCCAGTGTCTTCCTGTCCATGATTGTTCAGCAGTTGGTTATGATTGCGGTGCTCTCACAGGAGGGAGTTATCTGGTTAGATTTTATGCTTCCTTTTAAGTCATCTCAAATCCTTTCTGGCAAGGGATAATTTTTAAAATATACGTAGAGATCACTGTGTCCTGAATCATCCCCTAATCTCTCTGTACTTGAATATCTTCTATTTCTTCTGTTTCTGAAGCTAATTTTATTGTCACACACTGTTGTTGCCATGGATATGTGTATCCCTCAGAGAGGGATTTCTGGTTTTACAAAGGCTCTTTCTAAGTTTCTTAGGGGGAAAAAAGATATTTCACTTAGGAAAGAGCTTGCTTCAAGACCATTTTTCCTTTGAGGTATACAGTATTTTAAAACACCTTACTCTAAACATATAATTTCTTTATCTCCATCTTTTTTGACGGAAGCTATTGGCCATTCTCTTCCCCTGTTTATTTTCTGCTTGTAAGTTTTTATTTACAAAGTAGTTACCAGAGTAATTAGAATGCAGTGAACCCTTGGGCTTGAACACGTTTGAAGAGCTAAATGCTTTTTGAATGATTTTTTCCCCCATGAGCCTTTTAAAATATAACTTCAAGTACCGCTGACTCTGAATGTCAGCCAGTGGAGCTGATGGACTCTAACATTTTTACTGCTGTCGGGAAGCTCTGAGCTTCATCGGGAGAAAAGCACTTTCTGGATGGAGAAGTTAATTGGGGAGTTAGCAGTTTAACACGATTAAAAATAAGTTGTCATTCACAACTGACTGATTTTTGGCTCTGAGTTACTTCCTGGACTTAATTTCCATCGGCCAGAAAAGTAGGAACGTTGCCCTGGACATGGGAGCAGGGCCCCCGGGCACCGATGATCTTCCACAAATCTGGACAGGCTGCCTCCAGGTGCCTAATCAAGTAAACCCAAAGTCAGAAAACACTCTCTCAGGAGGAGTGATTTTGTAAGTTCCTGTCCCATCTTTGAGAAAAATAAAATAATATTCTGCTCCGTTGGAAGGAAAGGAAATCTGTAGAAATAAGTAACAACCCTCAGAAATTTCCCTGAGTCCAAGCTCCCCGACGCGAGGCTTGGGTGAGCGTCGGGAAGGAGCAACCCCAAGGCCAGAGGGGCTTCAGATGTTGGCTTGTCTGCTTAGGACCAGGGGGTGAGTGAGGCACTTACCTTGAGAGCAAAACCTAAGGAGACACCCCCCACCCCAAATGCTGTCATCAAGATAAATCCTATTTCAATGCAGTATTTAAAAAATCAAGTCAGTGCAAAGAAACAGGACGTGGAGTGTGCCGGTGGGGACTTACATGGACGAATGAATTGGTGAGGCCCCCCTGAGGTGGGCTGACACCTCATCACCCCCTGACTGGAGCCGGCAGAAGGATGAGAGAAAATCCCCCACGTGACTGAGGTTTGTTTCTTTTGCCTATTTTGTAGGGATGGGGGTCAAAATAGAAATCAAATGCATTTATTGACAAATGAATTTGTGTAATGTTTCCCACACACTTTAGTTTGTAAACTAAGGGTCTTAGTCATTAGGTTGCATAACTGTTATTTTGCCGATACAGAGTTTTACATGATTGCCTGTATTCTTTTTTTAAAAAATTTATTTTGTTGAAGAATAGTTGATTTACAATGTTGTGTTAATTTCTGCTGGACAGCAAAGTGATTCAGTTATACATATATATATATTCTTTTTCCTATTCTTTTCCATTATGGCTTATTAGAGGACATTGAATATCATCCCCTGTGCTCTACAGCAGGACCTTGTTGTTTATCCATTCTGTATATACTAGTTTGCATCTGTTTAATTGTCTGTATTCTTATCACCAGAATACGTGCTGTAGGCGGGCAGGGCTTTGTAGGTCTATGCACTGCTGTTCCCTCTTGCATAGAGTACCTGCTTAATCAATGACGTGAAAAACAAATAACTCTATGTAAGGTGGAGGTTTAGACTCTTCTAAATAGTAGGAGAAATGAAAAGCTTCTGGTTTACATTTTTAAGAATTAAATAATGTCTAATATCAATATATTCCTCTATGTGTGCATATACCATAATTACAGTAATAATAGTATTTGCTATACGTTATTCGACGAGACAAGTTGCTGTGGACAGAATGTTTGTGTTCCCCCAAATTCATATGTTGAAACCCCAGTGTGATGGTGTTTGGAGGAGGGTGACAGGTCGTGAGAATGGAGCCCCCCAAATGGGGTTAGCATCCTTACAAGAAAAGGACAGGGGTGAGCCCTTTCTCTCTCTCTGGGCCATGTGAGGTGTCGGGCTGCACCCTGCAGGCCTGCAAGCCCTGTACTTGTCCAGCTCCAAGACCAAAGGAAGAGCCCAGAGTCAGTGACAGAGACATCAGTGGTTTAATGGGTGGGGCACCTTACGTGTCTGAAACAAGGTCCTCGAGTGACACCCCATCGTGTGCGGCGGACGGCCGGCAGGACTTGGTGGCATACTTAGCTCCTGGGGGAAGGGGAAGGTTACCAGTTATAGGGGGAATTAACCTCAGGTTAGCCCATCGGTTACCAGGGAAACTAGCAGGGGGGCATGCCCCTCACCGCCCCTTTGATAAGCTATCATGGTGGAGATGTTCTGATCTAAAGAGTAGAACAGTCACTAGCTGGGCCGGAAGCAAGTATGTAGAAGGTCGGTCATGTGAGTGGGGTGTAGGTGAAGCAGGCACTGGTCCAGCAGGGAATGGACAGAGGGCAAGAGAACAGCCATCTTGGGGGGCCTGACCGTACGTGAGGACACAGCCAGAGGTGACTGTCTGCAAGCCGGGAGGCAGGTCCCCATCAGACACCAGGTCTGCTGGTACCTTGACCCTGTACTTCCCAGTTTCCAGAATTGTGAGGAGTAAACTAAAGGTCTGTTGTTTAAGTCACCAAGTCTATGGTATTTTGTTACGTCAGCCTGGACTGACTAAGACAGAGTACTTTACAGCTACGAAGTGCTTACATGAGTCAGGTGTCTATAACTTGTTAAATTAGCAAAATGTATCCTCGACAGTCTCCAAGGTTTATCAACAAGGTGTCCTGCAGTAAGTTTGCCTGCATCTGGAGAAAACCTGGGCTCCAGGAGGAGTGGATGTGTCTTCGGGAACACTGACGGTTGTGCAAAGGTAGGGTAACTTCCGTGGGCTTGAAAAATAGGTGATGGAGGTGGGGGCAGGGGGTAGGTTGACCTGGGAAGGAATGCTTGGGATTAGGAGGACTTTGTTAGCTCCGTCCACTCAAGCTGAGCTAAACCCCCGGGGCCATGGCCTGAGTTCCAGAAGGTGTCCAGGTAATGCATGTTGTCACACTTGCTCTTTTTTGCTACGTGGGCACAGTGGTCCTGCTGGGTCACTGTCATCATTTCCTTAACCTCACATTGGGGCTGAGACGCCTGGTGGTCTCATCAGTCACCAAATGCCATGGTCCACAGGTTCATGAGGAGTTAGGAGCACGCAGCCACCGGCTGCAGTTTACAGCAGCAACTCGAGGGAACCTGAAATTTGATATGTCATTGTGGAAGAAGATGAGATTGCCTGCCTGCCTGGTGGAAATGTGGTGAGCATTAATGAGACGAGCTCTCGGGGAGAAGATTTCTGTATAAACATAAGTCAGGGCTGGGAGAACCATTCCTTCTCCAGACTGCCTTAGTGCTTACATGGTGCCCAGTAAATCAGGGTGACAGTGTGACTTTGTCTACCGCAGTTTCCCAAGCCTGCTGTGTTGAAGCCCCTTCATTATTTTGGCTATAACTGGATACCACGTGTACTATTATTATCAAATAGCTTAAAAATGGACCCAGATTGTTTTTAATTTTTTCATCATAGAAAATTAAGTATACATATATATATAAAAGAAAAAAATAGCATAATGAACCCTTATGTATATGGAAATGAGCTTCAACAACCAGTAACGTGTGGTCAATCCCGTTTCTTTCATAGCCTCATCCACTTCTACCCTCATACCCCTCCTTCCCCTGTGTGCTTCTGAAATAAATCCTAGCCATCATATCATTTCATCCACAATAATTCAGGGTATATCTCCAAAAGAAGAGGGCTCTTCAAAAATTCATACTCATAATCTCATTACCACACATAACAATTAACAGTAATTTCTTATATTCTATTTTATCAAATAGTCAATCACTGTTCAAATATTCATAATAGTTTCTATAGACTGTTTGAATCCGAATCCAGATAAGTCTATACATCGTAACTGGTTGATGTGACGCATACAGTTCTTAATTCTGTAGGTTCCCCCTTCCTTTCTTTTTCCTTACAATTTATATATTGCAAGCATTTCATCATTTATGCTGTAGAGATTCCCTCAGTCTGAATTTTGCTGATTGCATCCCCAAGTAAAGATGATTTTTAGTTTCCTGTACCTATAATTACTAATTTATCTCCCCACCGACCCCAATACACTCTGACACACACCCCAGAGCAGGAATCCTTCCTAGGTGATGTGCTTTGATCCAGTAGAAGAATGAATTTTTGTTAGTATCATTATCAATTCATGGATCTAAAGATTTTGATGTGTTTCCATCCATCGAAATCACCATCATCCTCATGAAGGCTCAGATTGCCTCATCTTTGACCAATTAGAACCACTTCTGCGTCCTTTGGTCATGACCCCAGTCATCCTTCATAGCTTCCTTGCCTTCTGGTGGGAAGCTATTCCAGCTTTACCACATATATTTAGATTTATCATGGATATAAATATATATATTTACCACACGTATTACTGTGCTCCACTTATATAAGGAGCTTTTGTTCCTTAGTGTGGGAAATGGTATTTAGAAAGCACATTCTAGAGGTGATCGTTGCTACCGACTTGTTCATTGTTTCTATGCCTTTATTGGCTATAATATCCATAAAATTTTTCGTGAGTTTATACTGATATTTCCAACTCAAATTTAGAACTACACTTTTTTTTTTTTTTTTTT